ATATTATATTTACTTTTAATTGAATAAGGGTCACTCAGGGGATTGACATGACTATTGAGGCATCATTGCATATAATACTTTGATGAGGGTGGGTATTGGATGGGGGTGGGGTGCTTGTCAATGTTTGAGTGACGGTTACTCAATTTATACTTTGTTTTCTTTAGTGTATTGTATTCTGTTTGAAGTATTATTTTTTTGGACGCACCTTTATCATGTGAAATGTCCCACTGTTTCAAAAGTGTAGTTTCCCAATAAATGATTTATATTTAGTAGTCCAACTCTCTATGTCGAGGACGAGCTATACTGTAACTTAAGGAAAGTATGCATGACGTCAACATACGAAGCCACGCCCCTCGGCTGAACCCGTTGTATTTAACAACTACCCTGAAATTTTGATATGGTTTTGTAGTCAGATTTGAGAGAAAAAATTCAGCTACCCGTATTTCTCGACTGAGACGTCAGTGGGAGCTGTAATTTGTATGGCAAGGAGATGGTGCTACCCTTAATTATTACCCCGTATTAAGGGAATTTACGCCCACAAATCTTGTAGTTATTAATATTTTGGTTATAATAGAAAATGTTTATTTTTTGGTGACGTAACACTCACAATATAGTTAGCATGCATGTGACGGCATAAGCTAGATTACGTCACATTTTCCTGGTAAGGTAAACTTCCCCGGCGTGCTTTCTATCACATAATTATAATTTCACTGACTTAGGCCTCGGCCTAGTCTTATTATGCCTCATCGTCCCACGCTACACAGGATCAGTAAGCTAGGCCAAGCTTACTGGAGAGTTGTTTACCAGAATCCAAATGCATTTTATGTATTTGAACCTCTGAAGTATTTTACAGAAATGGCACTGACTCATAAAATTCCTGCCAACAATACATTTAATTTTTTTATCACTTAAAAATCTCAAATCTTCAACTTGTGATCTCTACGATATTCCTTTCTTTAATACTTGGTGGAAAACAAGCAAAAGTTTTTTTTCTGTAGAACACCTTGGTCAAGTCTATGTAAAGACAATAAACCGAGGAAGATATCAATAAAACATTTTACTAAAATTTGTAGTATGTCTAAATTAGTTGCTATAAAAACTATTAGGTTACCTGAATACCTTTTAGGTTACCTATTAGGTTACCTTTTTACGCGAATTTGTTGAAAAGTACAACATGAATGTGAAAGTGTTACATTTGATCCGTGACCCCCGAGCTGTGATGAATTCAAGGTGGCACTTACATTCTCCAAATTATGACTTTCTTAGAAAGAATGCAAATATAAAAGATGAAATAATTGACTTGTGCTAGCACTCTGTACGGAATATAAAATACGTATCATCTCAACCTGATTGACTCAGAGGGCGATATAAACTTGTTCGATTCGAAGACGTAGCAAGTTTTCCACATGCGCAAGACAAATTTATCAATTCTTGAGAGTAGAATACACTTGTATTGGATAGATG